GATTAATTTCCACATATTTGTAAATTTTCCCATTTTCCTTTCTGTTATTGATTCTGAATTTCATTCCACTGTGGTCAGAGAAGATATTTTATATGATTTCAGTTTTGTGGTCTTTTGTTCTATCCATTATTGAAAGTGAGGTATTGAAATCTCCAACTATATCGTAGAACTGTCAATTTATCCCTTTAATTCTGTTAGTCTTTGCTTTATTATATGTCTTGCCGCTCTGTTGTTAGGTGTGTATATATCTATAATTGTTAAATCTTCTTCATGGATTGACTTGTTATCAACATATAATGTCCTTTGTCTCCTGTAACGATTTTTGTCTTAAAGTCTTTTGTTACCATTTTCATGGAATGTCTTTTTGGATCCTTTCACTTTCAAACCTGTTTGCATCTTTGGATCTGAAGTTAGTGTCTTATAGATAGCATAGTGTTGGATCATATTTTTTTAATTCATTCTGCCAATCTTTACCTTTTAGTCCAACATTTCAAGAAATTACTGGTAGGAAAGGCCCTCTGATACTTTGCTGTTTGTTTTTTCTATATGTCTTATACCTTTTTTCCCCTCAATTCTTTTATTACTACCTTTTATAATTGATTTTTTTTCATATCTTAATTGAAGTATAACTGCTTTACAATGTTGTGTTAGTTTCTGCTGTACAACAAAGTGAATCAGCTGTATGTATACATATATCCTCATATCCCCTCTGTCTTGAGCCTCCCTCCCACCCTCCCTATCCCACCCCTTAGGTCATCACAAAGCATCAAGCTGATCTCCCTCTGCTATGCAGCAGCTTCCCACTAGCCATCCATTTTACATTTGGTCGTGTATATATGTCAGTGCTACTTTCTAACTTTATCCCAGCTTCCACTTCCCCTGCTGTGTCCTCAAGTCCATTCTCTACATCTGCGTCTTTATTCCTGCCCTGCCTGCCACTAGGTTCATCAGTACCACTTTTTTTAGATTCCATGTAAGTGCATTAGCATACGGTATTTGTTTTTCTCTTTCTGACTTACTTCACTCTGTATGACAGACAGAGTCCATCCACCTCATTACAAATAACTCAATTTCGTTCCTTTTTATGGCTGAGTAATATTCCATTTGTATATATGAGTGATATCATCTTTATCCATTCATCTGTTGATGGACATTTAGGTTGCTTCCATGTCCTAGCTATGGTAAATAGTGCTGCAATGAACATTGTGGTGCATGTATCTTTTTGAGTTATGGTTTTCTCAGGGTATATGCCCAGTAGTGGTCTGGCTGGGTCATATGGTAGTTCTATTTTTAGTTTTTTAAGGAACCTCCATACTGTTTTCCATAGTGGCTGTATCAATTTACACTCCTACCAACAGTGCAGGAGGATTCCCTTTTCTCCACACCCTCTTCAGCATTTATTGTTTGCAGATTTTTTTGATGATGGCCGTTCTGACAGGTGTGAGGTGATACCTCATTGTGGTTTTGATTTGCATTTCTCTAGTGATTAGTGATGTTGAGCATCTTTTTGTGTGTTTGTTGGCCATCTGTATGTCGTCTTCGGAGAAATGTCCATTTAGGTCTTCTGCCCATTTTTGGATTGGGTTGTTTTTTTGATATTGAGCTGCATGAGCTGCTTGTATATTTTGGGGATTAATCCTTTCTCAGTTGCTTTGTTTGCATATAATTGATTTTTTTATGATGCACATTTTGTTTTGTTCTCATTTCTTTTTCAGTGTGTTTAGTTTTTTTCTTAGTGATTACCCTGTGGATTACAATTAGCATCTTAACTTTTTAACAATCAAGTTTGAAGTAATGCAAATTTAGCTTCAATAGTATACAAAAGTCTGCTCTTTTATAGTTTTGTCTTTATACATTGTGTGCCCATTAACCTAGATTTGAAATTACCGTTTTATATATTTGCATCTTAAATCATATAAGAATAAAAGAGGACTTACAAGCTAAAAATGTAACTGGTTTTTATATTTACAGTGTAGCCACCTTTACCACTGTTCTTCATATGACTTTAGTGACCTTTCCTCTCAGCCTGGAGGACTCTCTTTAGCGTTTTTTGTAGTACAGGTGTAGTGTGACAAACTCCTTCAGTTTTTGTTTACCTTGGGAGTATCTTAACTTCTTCAGTTTTAAAGGACACTTTTGCTGGACATGGAATTTTTTTTTTTTTTTTAACTTTATTAGAGTATAATTGTTTTACAATGGTGTGTTGGTTTCTGCTTTATAACAAAGTGAATCAGTTATACATATACATATGTCCCCATATCTCGTCCCTCTTGTGTCTCCATCCCTCCCACCCTCCCTATCCCACCCCTCTAGGTGGTCACAAAGCACCGAACTGATCTCCCTCTGCTATGTGGCTGCTTCCCACTAGCTGTCTATTTTACGTTTCATAGTGTATATATGGACATGGAATTCTTGATTGATACGTTTTTCTTTCAGCATCAGATTCTACCTTGTCCTTAGGGTTTGTTGTTGCTCCTTATTGTGGTTGTTTTGTTTGCTTGTTTAGTGACTTTTCTAAACTCTTTTTATAAAGTCTGTGTCATTGTGTGATCACACACATCTGTGTTCTTTTGCTTAGTTGTTAGCCAGTGTTTTGAAAGAGTTTTCTTAAACACGTGAAACCAAAAGAAAAGGAAAAAAAAAACCTCTTTCAACACTTAGCCAGGCCATTTGCAACTCTTCCTTAGCCTTTACTTACTGCTTCTTCAGAGCTTGAAGGTCAGCAATAGGTGAAAGCTCAGGGTCTTCTCAGGCCTTTGCTGAACAAGTGCCGGTTCTGGCTATGTGTGTGGCTCTCTTGATTTTCTGGTATACACAGGGGCTTTTCAAAGCCCTTATTACCCCATTTGTGTCCTTACTCAAACTTTTCCTTCCTAGGATTTTTTATCTGTTTCTTATCCTAGTTGTTGTTTCTTCTACCAGTCTGCTGCATCAATTAAATGATTTCAGCAGAAAACATCCTAGCCCTGGGAATGCTCCAAGTCAGGTGAAACCAAGGCAAGTCATTGTGCCGGTCCTTCAGGTAGCTTCCAGATAGGTTGAAACGCACAATTACAATTCTTTGTGAATAAGATCTGTATTGTTCTGTCTGGCATTAGGAGTTCAGTTTGCTATCCTCACAGCCACCACTGATTTGGGATTTAAGAGATATTAGGCAGGCAGCTTAAAATGCTACAGTGCTCTCTTACTACAAAGCAGCAGCTTCTTTATTCCCTAAGCTTAGCTAGTTTTTATAAGTTTTTTACTAGATTCTGGAGTTCCGCAAAAGTTGATTTTGACGGTATTCGCCAGCTCATTGATTACTCTTTTGGAGGGATGGAACCCTAGAGTTCCCTGCTGTGCCAGAAATCCCTGATGTATGAATTTTTCATGATGATGATACATCATTAACCAGAAGGAAGGAAATTGGGAGGGAGGGAGTTAGTTGATTTATGGATCTTGGAGAGGTTATTTTTATTTGGACATGGAGGTTGTATTTGAGGTGCTGATGGTACATTCATTCTGTAGATGTCTAGTGACATTTGGAATTGTAATGCTTGAATTCCAGCTTAGAGCTACAAAGAGACCTTGGAACCTTCTATACAGAAGTTATAGAAAGTGAAAGTGTATGATTTCCTTGAAGCAGAGGCTAAGTCCAAGCATGGCATCTTGGGAAACACTTTCAACAAAGGAATCATTCACTTGTTCTTTCAGCAAACATTCACTTTGTTCCTGCTACTAGTATAGTTACTGCTAAGTGCTGGAGATACAAGGTAATAAGATCCAGCTTACTGCCCCCAGGAAACTCACTCTTATTAGATGGACAAGTAAGCAAGTACAATCCAATTTTATAACAAGGTTTAGAGGAACCCAGACAGAGGAACACAAGAATATTTAAACAGGTCAGTAGGGAAAACAGGAGACTCTCGGGGAAATTAAAGAAGGAGAAAATGTTGTACAGAGTTATCTGTGATCTTGGTTGCTGTATAGAGAGTTTGAAAAGACCGAGGGCTCTAAAAGGGACTAATTTGGCAGTGAAGAGATGACAAATTGAGTAGTTTTGGTGGAGATAGAGAACCAGATTATAAGGCGTTAGGAGTGAGTGAGTGGTGAAAAAGTTGAAGGAAAAAGGGAAGACAGTTTTATAAAGAACGATATAGTTAAAGAACAATAGCAGAGTTGAAGTAACTTTATTTTGGAATAAAAGCGATCTAAATGTGTTTTTAGACAATAGAAGGGAGTGAGTGGGAGGGGAACAAGGATGGTCAAGAGTCCCAAAAAGAGGCAGGAAAGATGGTAGGTATTAAGAACCCAGAAGGATCAGAGGTTGGGAACTTGGGAGAAGAAAAAGAGTAAGGGTAATGAGAAAGAATTTTGAGATAGTGAGAAAGTATTTGAGAAATTTTACCTAGGAATGCCTTAGTTTTCAAGTGAGCAGCGGTGAAAATGCCTGACTAAAGTTGCTGTAGCATACATTTGTGATGATAGTACCATTTGGTTATTTTTTTCATTCTTTTAACAAATATATATTAAGCATCTCCTGTGTACTAAGCACTGTATGAGATCCTTGGGATTATATCCATGAACAAAGTCAGCAAAAGTCTCTGCTGCTGTGGATATATTATTTTAAAATAAACATGAGGTAAAATAAATAGAGCAACCTGGGTCTTGGGAACTAAGAAAGCAAATGGGAGGATTACCTAGACTTAACTACAATTTTATATTGCATGTAAAATTGTGATTTAAGTTACTATTTTATTTCTATACAGCAAGTTAATAGAATCTCAGTTAATAAAGTAAGACAAGAAGAATATGGGTTTGCTGGAGCCTTTATAAGTCGTGAGGATGTAAAGAAAAAAAGAGTGAGAGGGAGGGAAAAAGGAAGGAAGGACGGAATTTGTTATCTTAGTTAAAAGGCTTGAAGGAATTACAGAATTGAAGATACTTTCTTAATAATGAATAAATTGGTGTTTTTGATTATCATTATTTTATATTCTCATTACCCTTTTTTATTTAAACAGGCATTGGAAAAGTGAAAAGAAAACCTAGTGTGCCAGATTCTGCATCTCCTGCTGATGATAGCTTTGTTGACCCAGGGGAACGTCTGTATGACCTCAACATGCCTGCTTATGTAAAATTTAACTACATGGCAGAGAGAGAGGATGAATTGTCATTGATAAAAGGGACAAAGGTGATCGTCATGGAGAAATGCAGTGATGGGTGGTGGCGGGGTAGCTACAATGGACATGTTGGATGGTTCCCTTCAAACTATGTGACTGAGGAAGGCGACAGTCCTTTGGGTGACCATGTGGGTTCTTTGTCAGAGAAATTAGCAGCAGTCGTCAGTAACCTAAATACTGGGCAAGTGTTACATGTGGTACAGGCTCTTTACCCATTCAGCTCGTCCAATGATGAAGAACTTAATTTTGAGAAAGGCGATGTAATGGATGTTATTGAAAAACCTGAAAATGACCCTGAGTGGTGGAAATGCAGGAAGATCAATGGAATGGTTGGTCTGGTGCCGAAAAACTATGTTACCATTATGCAGAATAATCCATTAACCTCAGGTTTGGAACCATCGCCTCCACAGTGTGATTACATTAGGCCTTCACTCACTGGAAAGTTTGCTGGCAATCCATGGTATTATGGGAAAGTCACCAGACACCAAGCAGAAATGGCATTAAATGAAAGAGGGCATGAAGGTGATTTCCTCATTCGTGATAGTGAATCTTCGGTAAGTTGGATTTCAAAGGTAAATGGAAATAGAACTCTGAGTATTAAAAAAATAAATAGAAGATTAGAGAAGTTAAGTGGCTTCCCTAAAATTAACCAGGTAGTATATTTGTTAAAATATGTAAAGTTTCTTAGTGAAAGTCAGTGTTCTTTCCAAGTGTATTTATTTTTAGTAATATATAGCCCTACCCTGGATTATTTAAATGCCTTGTCCTAGTACTGTTGGTTTTGCCTTCCTGAAATATTTTCTTTTGCATTAAACTGAAAAATGGAGAAAATTGAACACTGGTTTCTTCACTGAGAGTAAAACAATGCAGTAGACTAAACTGGGAAAACATTTCTTAAATTGCATAATGGATACACTGTCATCCTTACAATAAAGGAAATCCCTGAATTTAAAAAATTGATATTTGGTTTTTTTATAAATTGCTTGTTTGGACGTTGGAATACACTATTACATACCTCAGAAACCCATTTGAACATGCACTCTGTATTTGAAGTGCATTTGCAATACAAGATAAATTCTGTTCCAATACTAGTAAAACAATAAAACTGTAAAACCATAAAAATTGAATAAGAAAATAGTTTTGTGGGCTCTTTTGGGTACTATCTAGGATTTTAGAATTTGACAATACTCATTTCCCTTAAAAATGGCCTTTATTTTTCCTTGATAAAGGATATCACTACTTTTCCATGAGTAGTATTGGCTTTTTTTGTGTATATGTATTTGTACAAAAGTTAGTGTATGATTGTATAGAAGGTTGAAAGAAAGAAAGAAGACCTATCTGTTTGAGTGGTGTGTGTGTGTGTTTAAGGGGTGAGGGGTGGGAAAGATGAGAGGGCGAGATTGAAATTAATTGAACTGCCTGATGTGAAGTTCAGGAAATGGGGGCCTGTACATAACCCCTCAGAAGGAGAAGGTGATTTATGATAGGGAAGAGTGGTGGGATTTGTTTTCTGTTAGGTGCCTGACCTGGCCCTACTTTCTAGGACAAGCAGTGGGCAGAAGGATTAGAAGGGAGTGACCCTGGAGTGGGTGGTAAATAACCATAAGATGTTTCCAAGAAACCCACTGTTTGAAACTTTGGCAGTAACTGTATAAGAGGTTGATATAGACTATTCAGAAGAGTGTGAGGTTAAAAAAAAAAAAACCTAAAACTTGATTGCAAAATACTGTGTATTTTCTTGTGGGTAATTAAGCATAGATATTATCCAAAATATACCATTACTTTTAGTAGTCGAATTTTTAAAGTAGAGGTCTCAAATAGGCATATTTCATTTGACCTGCACAGTGTTTTTAAACATTTGAATTCATTGTCAGTTTTTAAATATTGGGAGATTTAGTATAAGAATTTAGACATCAGATTTCCCTTTTAAAATTGGAAGGCCTATCAATGTTGAGCCGTATTCCTACAAGGCAACAATTGGCAGTTAAGTGGCCACCTCCTTTAGATTGGCCATGTACTGTTGTTTCCCCCTATATAGCCACCCTGGCCATTGTTTACATTTCTTTTTTGCCCCTTATAGGCATTTGAGTTTATGATCTCTTATTAGAGTTTAAATTAGTTCTCATTTTTGTGTCCTTCATCTTTGAGATTTCAGAGTATTTACTCTGTAAGACAGCTACTGTTAGCTACTAATTGAAAAGGGGTGGATGTCTTGGATTTTCTCCTATGTTTCTCCAGTAGTTTGAATGGAGAGAAGATAGTTTTTATGCTTCAGATGTTAAACTAAAGGATTTGCCCTGGTGTTAGGTAGAGCATAATAGTTAAGAGACTTAAGAGTCTGGCTGCTTCGATTTGAATCCTGGCTCTTTTGTTAACTAGATGGATGATCTTAGGCAACTCAGCTTCTCTTCAGCCTTGATTTTTTTTTCATCTGTAAAATGGGTTTGTTTTGAGGCATAAAGGAGATAATTCATGTAAATAATTTAGTATTGTGCCTAGTACTTAAAGTGCTCACATTTTAGCTGTTACTAGTTTAATATAAAAATGCTAATAGATGTCTTTCAAAATTTTTTTCTCTTTTAGCCAAATGATTTTTCAGTATCACTAAAAGCACAAGGGAAAAACAAGCATTTTAAAGTCCAACTAAAAGAGACTGTCTACTGCATTGGGCAGCGTAAATTCAGCACCATGGAAGAACTTGTAGAACATTACAAAAAGGCACCAATTTTTACAAGTGAACAAGGAGAAAAATTGTATCTTATCAAGCATTTATCATGATACTGCTGACCAGAAGTGACTGCTATACAGTTGTAATTCGTCATGTGAAGACTGAGAAAATATCAGTCCAGTCATGCTTGATTGGAAATTGCTGTTTCTAACTCTATATGAAAATTGACTATAATACATAAGTATTTTTATTATAACTCAGTTCATTCATATATACTACATATGCCAAACATCTGCATAGAGCAATTCCTTATCCTTGGTCTTCTGTTTTATTTTTTTTTTTGCTCTTTTTCTCTTCGCTTCTAATATTAAGGTTTTATATTTTGAAAAAATGATGCAAATCGAAAGTCTTTATATGGAAGAATTTCTTTATTGCCTTTCCTTTATTTCCTTGTAAGGGCACCACCTTAGTTACTTCTGCAATGGTTCTCTTCATATAAAATTATTATATCAATTATATCAATATATGGCATATGCTAAAATAAATTTCTTGGAGAGTTGTTAATCTTTTCTGTGACTAAATAGCAATAATAAATGGAAAATTAGAAATTATTTTCAGGTATTATATTTGTCACAAGCCATTGTAAATATCAAGTATGTTGTGTCTGTCATTATTTTCCAAAATTCGTTTGTTTTCAGTGTAAAGCAAAACATACGGGACATAGGTTAGAAAACATATCTTGTACAATTTAAATTTACAACTGTTGGAAACAAAAATCTGTAAATTCCTAAGTTTTTTTTTGTTTTTTTTTGGTGCTTCTCTCTCATCTGGTTATTCAAGAGAACAAAACAGTCTCTGAGATATTTAGCTTTTCAAACTGTAAATGGATGCTCTAGTGTTATTTTTTTCCCCTAGTGTTATTTTACCAAAGCATCTTATTTTTGAATATGTTATATCTGTGTCAATATGAAAAAAGCTATGGCCAAAGTTTGAAGAAGTAAGAGGCAATGAGATACTTGGTTCTCCCCAACCCCACCAAAAAAAAAAATCAATAATTATCAGGCATAGTATTTCTACTATTCTCATTTTCTTCTTTCAGCTTTGAATTTTATTGACTGGGACACTAAAATTGATGTATACCTGAGGAAAAGATGTGATGTGCTAATGGTAAGGGAAAATTATTTTTAGAATCTTATATTTTCAGATGCTTCTATTAAGTTTTTGTTTATCAAGCAGAAGTTTGGGTGTATGGATGAGAGGCTACTGTAGCGTATTTAATCTATTTCTATACATCACAGAAGAAAACCAGTTATACTTTATGGTCACAGCTTTTCCCCCCACTATAAATTCTGGAGATTTAATTTAAGCAAAGTACTTTCAATATTTTAATAGAAAATACTTACTAAAACCACATAACTTAGTAAATAGTAGAAAGTCATGAGATTTTAAAAAATTTCCCCAATGCTGCCTACGCAAATGAATGTTTCCATTCTTTAATATGTTATGAACAGACATTTAAGACACCAGAATTACTGATTCTAAAATTGAAGTTGTCTAATTCATGAGGTTTTTGACTTTGGTTTTTTTAAGTTTGTTTTATTTTAAATGTTTTTTTAATTCTCTAAATCTTCAGATCATTTAAAGACTTACATTGCCACTGGGTGGCAGCCCTGACTTCTCTCACTAAGCAATAGGAGTTAGCAAATATAGACATTGTACAATTTTCTGTCTTCATTACATCTGCTTTTAAATCCTTTTAGTTCATATTTCATTATCTTTCTCAGCCCCCTTTGTTTATTAAGATGATTATTAGTAGGCAAGTTTAATGGAAACAAAAGTCATGTATTCTTACCTTTTTTGCTGTAAAATCACTTGAATATAAATTGAGGAAAATAGTTTTAAAGTAGTTGTAAAATGACTAGGTAGCAAACATCTTCTTAATCTTAAACAAACATTTGATGATGCTTTCTTTTTATTTTCCACCTCTTTGTGGTCCCCACCCCCCAGTCTTCCTTATTTAAAAAATGGATTATTTGTTTAAAAAAAAGGAGAGGAGCAACTCAATTACTACTTTGTATCACAGACATGAGCTATTTATAGCAAACCCTGCAGAGCTGATGTTAAGGATTTTGAGAAAGTAGCTAGGAATGGAGTAGCACTGGAAGCAGAATGCATATTTCTGTGCCATAATTAGATTTATAATAACTAGGGAATTCCTAGATAGTCCTTGTGTGCCAATAATAGCTATTGTGTGCTCCTCCTATTATGTGATGAAACCTCACTGGGAACTACTTAATTTTCTACTTCAACATTTTATCAATTTTTTAAAAGTCTTAAAACCAATCTTTACATCAATGACTGTTTTTTAAAAGCATGAATTAATTTTCTTAAGAACTAGAACCATCTTAGAAAACATCAACATAGCTAGCTAGTAGCAGGACTTGTATTAGAAACCTTATTCCCAGCCTGATACACTCTATATTGTGACACATTGGCTTCTCTGTGCTTGTTTTTAGACAAGGAGGAAAGTCCTGGGAAGAGCAGTATTACAGTAGTTTTCTTCCATCTGTGAGGAGATGCTTAACTATCAATTTAAATATTCATAACACACATAACCCTGCCCAACCCACTTCTACAAATAACTTCTCCAAAATCTTGGAAGAAGGTTTTTCAGAACTTTATATAAACTCAGTAACAAAAAGCTATTGCTGCTGTATCTGTTATTTGGTCATAAGTCCTTAAGTTCAGCTGAATACATATTCACAAACATATATTACACGTCTTTGACTATACACGGTAACACAGGCACCTGGCACTATTAAAGATGGTGTGTCACAGACATATCACTTAAAATCAGAAGGCCTTAAGTGCAATCAACTGCCATTGCTGGAAGAATAAAAAGCCTAGCAGATGAGCAACTTGGATTGTTAGAATGATGTTATCCTCATAGATATGTGGATAGATCAGTGGCACATAAGTTATCTCCAGTGTTAATGCTTTAATTCTATCATCTAATCCAGAGATTGCGAGAAGCAGGGCCACTACTGTCTGTGTAGGTACATTGTGAGAATTAGGAAAAGGCACCTCTTCTCTGGGCAAGCCCGGCCACTTTTTTTGCTGTTGAGAAGTCCAAAACTCACCACCACTACCCTTCTCCCATCTTGCAAGGTGCCCTGTTCAGGATACAGCCAATACAGTTCAACCCACAATGCTTAAAAAAGTAATGGTTAACATTTTAAAATTGGGAGATTTCACATAAAATCCAGAGTTCTGCTTTCCCCTGAAAAATGAGAAGCTGATAATACTAAATTTGAATTCCCAGAAGGCATCAGATGGTATGGATGCTTCCCTTATTTTTACCAATGCATATGGTTAAAAACAAAATTAAAAGTGTAAAAAAGGCTCTTTCCCAGCCTTTATTCCCCCTTAGTTCAAGTCTCCAAATGTAGTTACTGTTACTCCCTGTTTTTCCTATAACTTGGAGTTATCTGGAAACTTACCATTTTGCAGAAATGCTTCAGGTGCAATGTCCAAATCAATAAATTAGGAATGTAGCATTTCAGCATGCTTTAACTTTTCCACTTTAATATTTTGCTAGAAGAAAAGGAAATCCTTTGTAATCCTGTATTTATATACATCCTTTAACTGTTTTCGAATGGCTTCACAACTGAGGTTGCTTCTAACTTAAAGTACATTTGATACAGGATAGATGACATCCTCATTTTATGTTTTGAACAGCATCCAGTGAACTTTTTGAAAATGCCATATTACTGCTTCTGGGGAAAACCTGTATTTTATTCTACTGCAAGGCAAGGTAGGAAGCTCCTCTCTTCTGATAAACTGGTTCTATTGGTTTAGCAAGTTTATATGACTCAACTCTGTCATCTTCTAAACTCTTACAGACCAAGCATGCTGTGCATACTCCACACCCTAGTTTTTTGCTGTTGACCTAAAACCAAATGACCAAAGAAATATATTTTTCTTGTTTACTAATGAGGGGTTCTTGTGATTTGAAAGTATACAGTTTGCTGAGACTTGTTTGTTTAATGAGTAGAACATAAACTGGGCTTGGTGAGGTTTTGAAGAGCAGGAGGAGGAGTTTTTGTTATTATTGGCGGTGTTCACGAAGGTAAATGTTTTAAACCACAGTGTCTTTTTGAGGGTATGTTTGTTGGCTGGAGCACTTTCATTATCTCAAATACTTCAGAATTGGCCTGATGCCTACAAAGGATTCACACAAACTTTTAATTTACCAATTGGACTGGCTGATTTTCTAAATGTTTCCACTCAAATTACTTTTTTAAGCTGTTTTTAAAGCTTCAGGGAAAGCTGGTCTCAGTATTTTGAAATAATGTTGCAAATTTTATTTGTAGTTATAACTACAAAGAAGACAAAGAGTACTCAATTTCCTCTCCATGTTTTCTTGTACCTCGGTGGAATGATAATGACTCTCGAACAGGAAGACAAGCATAAATAGACAATTAAGAATAGACATCTAAGGTAGTTAAGGTATTTAGTTGCTTTAAATCTCTAGGCTCAGAAGCTATGTAGAACATTTGGAGATAGCTTTCAGGAAATTATGGAGACAGGTGGAGTCCAGAATGAGACTAAAGTGTTGTCTGTTTTAGGTTAAATACCGGAATGGTTATTAAATTTGTTTTTTTTTTGAGCATTTGTAGAAGAAATTAGTGATCCCTGAATAAGCATGTCTTTTCTTGGAACAAGTAATGCCAAACATTTACTTCTTTTGATATGGTTTCTAGACTGTAGATAAGGGGGATGTTGTAGAAGAAAACAAGTACTGATTTCATCAGCGCATATGCTAATCACTTGGCGTCAAGATGAGAAAAATACTTTTTGAATGGTTATATCTATGTATATGGTTTTGTGTCTTTGTTTTGCTTTTGGAGATACTTGTCCTTCAACCAACCATCCAACCACCTCATGTCAAATGTTTGATTGCGTAGGTGCCAGACTGTTCTAACCTAGCAAAATGATAGTGAAGAAAATGGACAAATTTGTCCAAAAACTGTCCTAAAACTTTCATTTCTAGTGATGTAATGCCTAATGGAGAAGTGCTATGAAGAAAAAACAGAGCAAGATGAGGAGGTCGGAGAGTGAGAGTGGGGTGTTAATTTATATAGGATGGTTGGAGGCCTCATAAAACAGACTGAGCATATTGTGTGCTTCACTTAATAGAATCAGTGATGACTAGGATTAAACCAGTGAATGACTGAAAATACAGCAATCAAAATCATTTGAAAATTATTAAGATCTTCACTATATTACAGAGCATTGTTTCTGGTTTTCAAATTTTAGAATTGAATAAAATGGTATTTGTTTTATTTAAACACGGAACTTTTAACTACAAAGGACTATTCTGAATAAGGCTTGATTCTACATCTTAAGAGAAGTTGTTGGGAAATGTCACAGAAAAGAATCAGTTATAACTACAGGAAGGAGGGCAGTTTGACAGACTTAAGGGTTTTAATTCATCACCCCCTAAGGAAAGAATTGAGGTTAAGGGAGGTTAAATTCCTGATGTTCTGCACTGGTGCCAGACAATAAACGAGGCAGGAAATTGAAGAAGAAAATAACGTTCAGAGGAGGTTGAAAAAGGGCTGTAAGAACCCTGAAAACCAGAGCTTGAAAGTGTGTGAAAGTTACATCTGGAGCAGACTCAGTGGAAGCGGGAGTTAGAAAAATCTATGACAAGGAGAATTCCACTGTTTAAATACACTGTGTTACTTCCAGAAAAAAAATATAATAGTAATAATTTAGACAGTGGGTTACAATTAAATGTCAGATGTGCTAAAACACAGGACAGATATTTAGGAATCTTGGTAAAGGGAAGAGAACTATTTTGTGTTAAGTAGAGGAAGGAAGGGTTATTGCAATTAACTGACCACGTGGTCTGTGCCAGGGCACCAGGACCTACCCTGCATTTGCACAACCCTAAGAGTGAGTGCCTGAAATTTTGCACCCTTGGTGCCTCCCTTGCTTCATTCTAGTCCCAGCCCTGTGGGGCTCAGAGGGCTCGGGATTCTCTTCCTTGACCATCAATCTCCTTTTCCTTCCCCACTCTTTACTTTTCCACAAAAACCTTTAACTCCTTGCTTTTCTTTCTGTAATTAAATATTCAAGCTGCAAATAGTGTAATAGGAAAAAAAATTCCTATTTCTAGACTGTACTTCTTTATGATAGAAAATAGCTTTGTTCTTCCAGCTGTTCATCTTCAGGCATAGGTGACTGATCATCTTCAACTCTGGAAGGCCGTGGAAATTAATCTGAGAAGTGCAGCGGAAATTAATCTGAGAAGTGCAGCAACAGGTTAGAGGACAGTTTGGTTTTGGCATGTTGCATTGACAAAATATCACAACCAGCTGATGAGAAAGTGTAGAAAGAGAAGTTCCTCAAAGCCAGAAGAGAAAGGCAAGATCAGAGTCGGGGATCCAGGCAAGGGTAGGGGCTAGCAAGTGAGGCACAGCCCTTCAGAGGTTCTCACCCAGTGGCATGGCCCATGCAGAGGTGGATCGTCTGAGTTCCTTGTTGATTCATGGACCAGTCCTGAGAGGAACTGCCATTCAAAAGCTTGTGGCAGGCAGGTAGCATTACCCCTCAGTGCCCCTAGAGGTGTGCTGAGCCCAGGTCAGAGACTTTCTGCAGTGGCTTGTGAAGGATTGGCAGGCAGTACTGCCTTGTCAACATGGCAACATGTCATGTCAACATGTCATGACAAGTGACAACATGGCTTGTCACTTGTCAAGTGCTGGGCGGGGGCATCTTGACAGGGACCCATGCCCAGGTTGAGCTATCTTAACACCTCAAGGTTTGGTGAACAACTCTCCTTCCTCCCCCATCACATAACTAAATGAGTCTTGTTCTTTCTCCCATTTTCTGTTTACTTTCCTTTTCCTTTTCATCCTCAGTCTGTTTTCCCCTCAACTTTTCCATCCTTGGGCCTTCCCATGCCATTCTCCCAGTTGGAATGCTTAACTGCAAGCACATCTTTCCTATCCAAATCTAAACGGGTACATCCTTGGAATTCCATATTGAGGATTGTCCGTTCTCTAAAGCCTTTGCTGATCTCCTAGATCACTAACTCTTTTACGTCCCTCAGACACATTGTGAGCCCTCCTTCGGTACTAATTGGGAGGTAGTAAGGTGAGTGAAAAGAACTTGGAGTTAGGCAGATCTCTGTTGGAATTCCTGTCTCCATCCCTGACTGGCTCTGGGATCTACAGTAAATAAACTTCAGATGTGTCCTCATCTGAAAAGTTGGGAATCAAATTTTATCAATACCTTGCAAGTCTGTCGTATAATATATGGAAATGTGTATAGAGTGCAGGGATCAAGGAGAGGATGCAGCAAGTGTCCTTGACCTTGATGTAGTTAAAAGATATACAGCGAATACTTATTGTATATTTACTTTGCCAGATTCTGTTCTAAGTGTACCATTTCATATAATCCTCACAACAGCCCTACGAATTAGGTACTATTACAGTTGTCTCCAGTTTACAGAGGAGGACATTAAAACATTGTTTAAAAGACTTGGCGAAAAAAACACAGTAAGTGGCAGAGCACCAATACCAACCCAGACAGTCTGGCTCCAGAGTCCATGCTTTTAATGACCACCCTCTAATAGGTGTCACCAACTGGAAGCTTTTTTTGCTGATCCAGGGGCCAAAGTGAAAGATGGGCAGCCCACAAAGGGCCAGCCAGTCAGAGCAAATAAACCCTAATGTATTTATTGTTAATATTATTAATATAACAAATGGTTAATACAGCATTTGTGAAGACCTACTGTGTCCTTGGCACTGTGCTAATGTGCTTTGTCTACATTCTTTAATTCCCACAAATATTATGCAAGACATTGTTTTATAAAAATGACGCTCATAGAGTTGCTTTCTTCCCCTTCACATCAAAAGAGCACTACTTTTCCCATCCAATCCTCAGCCTATAACTATCTAGCTTCTGATCCAAGTTCTCCGCTGAAACTCCTCTTACTGAGATTACAAATGACCTCTAGGTGATGTAAATCCAGGAGACATTTTTTGATAATTTACTCAGTGACTCTTTTCTGCACCCCCCCTGGTGATCACTCCATCCCTCATCATTTCCAGGACCATAGTTTGTTCCAGGACGACCTCTCTGACCTATTTATTCCCCCTATATCTTCCTATGTCATTTTGCTTGTGCTGGTCCTTTAAATGCAGGTCTTCTCCTGGAGCGTATCCACACGTCTCTTTAATCTACATACTCTCCCTGAATGTTCTCACCCACTTGCTGGTCTCAGCTACCAATGAAATGCTGAATGTAGGGGAAGTGGTGCCATACCCTGACACTCATAAACTGAGACAAAGATCATTTGAATATTGGAGACTGCCCCTGCCCATATGAGCACCTCAAAGTCGAGTGTATCAAACTGAACACATGCAGCCTTTTTCTGTACCATTCCCAACCCTGCCTGCCCTGCTCCCACCCCACCTCCTTAACATTATTTATGTTGGGATGCTGTCATCCACCTAGTTATTCAAACGAACGTGAAAATCATGTTTGCCTCCTCCTCCGCCAATCCACTCAACATCTAGGAGCTGTCAATTCTACCTCCATCATTTGAATTTAGTCACTTCTCTCTACAGACATGGGAAAACCTAGTGGAAGCCAACATCTCTCAACTGGCTGACCCACATCCCTCCCTTCTGGCCCACCTGCCTCCAGTCTGGCCGCTTCCACGATTTTCTCTACCCTAGTCATAAATTTTTTAAAGCTCAAATACAGGGAATGACAGATTAGATTTGAGCTTTTAACCATCATTGCCTCAGGATAAACTCTGAGCTCCTCAACAAGGCATTCAAAGCTCTCTCTTGAATCCTGTTTTTGTCTACCTTCGAGCCCCATTTCTTGCCACTCCAACCTTGCTCTCCAGTTGCATCAAACTTATCGTGGTTTCCCAAACACGCTATGGCTGGCTGACTGATTTTTTTCAGCATTTAATACTCAGCCCAAAGTCACCTCCAAGAAGTCTTCTTTGAACCCCCAGGCTGGGTTAGGTGTTTCTCTTTAATGCTCCTTTATTCCCTTGTGAATATTTCTGTCACTTCATTTTCAGTATTGATTTGTGACTATTCTCATGTCCATTTTCTCCACTAGGTTTTGGTTGAGGGCAGGAACTATCGAATTCCCAGGATCTAGTACATAATAAAAGCCCTTAGTGAATGTCTGTTGAATGAATAAATAAGTAACTTTCCCAAGGTTATATTGCAAATAAATTCTGACACTGGAACCAAATGTGTTGCACTCTAAAATTCATGTTCTTTCCACTGAGGCGTTTGCACACGTGGAGTGTTTAGAGTCTAAAAAACTGACATTTTAAGGGGCCAAACCCTACCATAAGATTTTCCTTCCAATTTAAAAAATTTAAATAAAGTTTTCAATAATACATTCACATGGTTCAGTAATCAAACAATATAAAAAGATAACAGCACCCACAATAATTGAAAGCAGGGTCTTGAGATATTAGTACATCTGTGTTCAGTGCAGCATTATACTCACAATAGCTAAAACGTGGAAGCAAATCAAGTGTCCATCAATGGATGAATGGATAAGCAAAATGTATATGGACTATTTTTCAGCCTTAAAAAGGAAGGGAATTCTGCCATATACTACAAAATGGGCAAAACATGAGGACATTATGCTAAGTGAAATAAGTAAGTCACAGAAAGACAAGTACTGCATGATTCTACTTATATGAGGTACTTAGAGTAGTCAAAATCATAAAGAGAAGTATAATGGTGGTTTCCAGGAGAGGGGAGAAGGCGGAGTTATTGTTTAATGGATATAGAGTTTCAGTTTTACAAAATGAAAAGAGTTACATGGACCGATGGTGGTAATGGTTGTACAACAATTTGGATGTATTTGATACCACTGAACTGTATACTTAAAAATGGTTAAGATGGTAAATTTATGTTATGTGTATTTTACCACAATAAAAACAATTTTTTAAAATCCCCAAACAAACAAAAGGTAGTGGAAAGAGTCTCGTTCCCATTTTTCTCCTCTGTCTTCCCGATTCCCACTCCCTTTGCCCCAAGGTAAACAATCTTGGTAGTTTTCTCTATCTCCTTCCGGGTTTTCTTTTTGCAGATGCAAGCACATATGAAGCTATATATTCTTCACCTCCTGACTCTATAAAAGATATTTAGAAAAAAATTTTTAAACTTCTCTACTTTTTTTGAAGTGGAGATGTAGAAAAACAGCTAATCAGTACCTAGCTTGCATGAACTCACCGGAGAGAGAGTTGGAAGAGAAGAGCTATTTGATAAGTTCAGATAATCTTGCCTGCTACTGCCAGGGGTGCCTCTGGAGACCACCAGGGTCCCCCAGAGCAGAGCCTATGATCCAGGTATCTCCCCCATGCAGATTCTTAAGCTTCCCAGTTATCTTTTCTCTGGAACTCTCCTAGGCCACACCCCCTGATGCAACATCTGGGTTTGGGCAGAAAGGAGGGTGCTGCCCAGCCCGCCTCTTCTGAGGTGTCTGGGCTGGCTCCTCTTTCCAGAACAATTCAGGCTTTACAGCGACTCAGACTCAGCTCCAACTTCTGCGTTCCGAAGCAAGGATGGCTGATACGGAAAGAGTGCTTCATTCTGGAAGGAAACAATGTTCCAGGTCAAACTGAGCCTGCCAAACAGAGACCCTCACAATGGTTCTAGAAGAAATCGAGACAAGTCTTATCATGTGGTTTTCCTACGCCTTGATTCCTTGTTTGCTCGTGGGTAAGTATGAATCAGAATACCGCTTACAGTCTGGGACTCAAATATAGGTTAGGAAGGTGAAAAATACTTTCCCAGGGTTTGAGGTTGCAATATATGCATAGAACATCTTATGTCTGTTTTTGAAAAGGTTTCTCACCTCCTAATCCTCCATCCCCACAGAGAAAAGACCTGCATTCTGTTTAGAAATCTCTCAGTGTCCACAGAACAATCTAGGAAGTTAAAGCATCAGAAAAATAGTTTAAAGGTTAGCAGAGATCCATGCATTTTGTTATTTATCTTATTATTTAGTTTTAAAAGCCACAACATAGTTATTATCTCAGTCTTTCTGTGTGTGCCTCAGAGATGTTCACTGTAAGGACAGGTTTAAGTAAAGATTCTAACAAAATACATGTGAATAGAAAGACATAATTTGCAACCTTAATATTGGGTACAAGATTTATGAAAATTGGAATTCTCTCCTGGTCACTTCAGAAAAGGTAGCAGTCAGGTACTCCATACCATCTTAAAAAGTATTTGGTTTGGGGCATTTTGCCTGCCAGTAAGATTACATAATTATCTCTGCTCCATTCTGGCTGCTTGCACCTACATGTTATTGTTCTGAAATCGCAGCTTTCACTTTTGATGTTTCTTCCTGTCAACTAACATTTAAAAGAAATTTCTAATTTGAATACACCAAGGTCCTAGGCACTTTGCAGTGTCTGTGGGTGTCTTGAGTACTTTCTTTTTTTTAACACTGAGAACTAATTATTCTAGTTAGTTTAAGTCAGGTAACAAATCGGTGCCGAGGTGATTAGCAAATGTTTAGAGCTGACTTAAACATCAAATATATGCCTGTGTAGCTCAAAACCCTTCACAACTGTATGTCTCAGCACATGATGAGCAAATTTGCTGTTTGTTTCATGACACACCATATTTAGACCCCAATCCTATTTCTCACTACTCCTTGAAAACAAGTATGGGCCACAGGCGGCTGCTGTCTTCACAGCTGGCGCATCACCCACCCCCCCCATTTCCTCCTCCTGGTCTTTATTGTAGTTCTTTCCCTCAGAAGCTCCCTCTCCAGTCCTTACCCCATCCCAAACCCGTCCTCCCATCATCATTCCAGATGGGTCCCTGCTCCTGCAGACCCTTCCCAGACCTCTCTCCTTTGATCCTTGACCCCATGTACTCTGTTTCAGTGGGTTGTTTCTGTTTCCTGCACTGGCCTGAAGGCAGGGCCTAGGCATCTTTCCTGGCGTCCCCACAGCCCCTAGCATAGGCTCAGCATGTTAGCTGATTGGTTAGTTACTTGATTCATTGATTAGTTGGTGGCACAAACAAGTTGCTAGGAAAACGCTCCTCCACTAAGCTAAAGGGAGAAGACCAAATGCTAAAGGGGTGGCCAAATGAGAAGGGGAAAGGCCAGCATATTTTTCCTGATTTTTTTTTTAATTGAGGTATAACTGACATATGACATTATATTAGTTTCAGGTGTACAACATAATGATTTGATATTTGTATGTACTGTGAAGTGGTCACTGTAATAAGTCTAGTTAACAGCTGTCACCATACAAATTTTTTCTTCTTGTGATGAAGACTTTTAAGATCCACTTTCTTAGCAATTTTCAAATATGCAGTATAGTAACTATAGTCACCATGCTATATATTACATCCCCATGATTTATTTATTTTATAACTGGAAATTTAACACTTTTTGATCCCCTTCACCCATTTTTTAATTTGACATTTTCTTCAATGAGGTAGTCCAGTCTTTTAAGCCTTTTCCTGAAGACTCCTATTTCAAGTAGACCTGGAGGTGAGTACTCTTCTGACACCTGTAAACTTACACAGAAATAAAAACAACAAACAAAAAACTACAACAACCATCCCTGTCCCCCTCCACCACCCACCCAAAAAAAAAAAAAAAAAAAAGCAACCAAAAAAAACCCACCAGTGGTAGAAGCCACAAGGATGTCAGAGTGAGAAAGACCTGTGTGTGAGTTTTGACTTTTATCACTTGCTCGTTCAGTGAATATATTTCTTATCACTTCAGTTTCCTTATCTGCAAATTGGTCAAAATAGCTACCTTTCAGTTGGGAGGTGTCAAACGAGATTATGCAAACAAAGGCACTCTGAAGATGTTACTTTTCATCTGTTGGTTATGCAAACCGATGGTGGTGTCAGCAGTTATTTGCTTTAGCTGAGGTTGCCTTTCTGCAATTTTGACCATTTACTCTGGACTGTGTAGGAGCCTGCAATGATTTCTGCAATGTCTAAATGAACTTCTACTACTTACTCTAGATCCTTGGGACAGATGGGTAGAGGTCTTGCTCTCTTTTACAGAATTTATTTGCCTTGCCCTGTCCCTTTCAAATAATAGTGTGTAATTCAGGAAACTGATTCCCACTACCAATAATAATAATAATAGTAATAATAACAGCAATAATAACAGCGACAGTGACCATCGCAACTGCCATTTATGACCGCACACTGTGCTCTGGATTAGCAAAAATGTTCTCTTGACATCTCACATCAATCCTGCAAGGTAGGTGATATAACCCCCATTTTATACACTAGGAAAGAGAGGCTCAGAGAGGTTCAGCTATTTGCCCAAGCGTATACATCTAATAAGTGGGAGAACTGGGATTTGACTCTGGTTCTGCTGGCTACAGAGCCTGTGCCCTTTGTACTTCTCTGCAGAAGAAGCTGAGACATTGAAGCAGGCCAGAAAAAGTTTGGAAGGACAAAGCAAAAGGAATAAAGAAGATGTTGCTGTGTTTTCTGACACATTTGCCATAAGGGCTGTTGGAAGTAAAGGTGGCAGAACAGAGCCCAAACGAGGGGAGCTGACAGCAGACACAGTGAGGGGAAGCCAGCATGGTGATTCCAGGGAGGAGATGCAAGGGGTTCTGCCTGGGAAATGTGCCCAGGGGCTTTGTGGTGGGCATAAACCTCAGAATGACACAAAGGTCTAATGTGAGATAGGAATTCGGGGGGAAAAATCAGGCTGAGGCTAATTTCACTAAGGAGCCAAGACTTGGTTCACCTGTTTCGTTTTCATTCATTCTGTATTTCTGAGCGCCTGCTGTGTGCCACGTTCTGGGTGGTTAGATATGAACAAAACAGTGTTTTCTGTCTGCAGGGAACATAAGAACCTGCTGGGAAATACACCTAATTCTTTAGGGGTTTATCATTCATAGT